GCGCCGGCTTCGGCCCGGGATAGACCTGCGGCGGCGGCGGGAACGGCCACGCACAGGTACAATTTAGCGCGTTTCTTCAGCGCGCTCCAACCCCTCGGGTTCACCCACCGCAAGGCAGATCCAGCCAGATCTTGGAGTACAGGTCCCAGAGACGCCCCGTCCGGCCAGGGGAGAGGGGTGGGGACCAGGGCGCAAGGAAGGGGTCCTCAGGCTCTGCGCTGTAAGCGTTTGGCCTTTATCCCAAGCTTCCCAGAGCCCAGAGTCGAGGGGGAGGCGGTGGCGGCCAGAGGTGCGGTCCCTGGAGTGTGGCCCGCACTATTGAGTGTGGACATGCATATTAATCAAAGCTGAAGGAAGACGGAATAGGGACGGGAAGAGGAGGAAGAGAGGGAGGGAGGAGGCAGGAGGGAGGGGGAGAGAGAGAACTCGGGCGATTTCTAACGTTCCCATCCCAGACTCCCCAGTGCCAAGCGGCCCTCCACTTCTCAAACTGAACTTGGGAACTTGTGTGTTGGAAACTGGAAGTGGCAGGCTGGGAATTCCTCCTTTTTTGATGCTCTCCTCCCTTCCCCCCTACACTCCGACGGCAACACTCGCAAATGATGGGCCGTCCTACCCGGGGACACCCTAGCCCTGCTGGGCTTGTGCTCCCTAGGTCCTTTCACGCACCTCTCCTCCACTTTCCCTGCTTATTCTCTCTTTCCCACCCTGCTCTCTCTTTCACAAAGCTCCCCGGGACGCCTGTCCTGCAGCTTCCGGCCAGTGCTCAGCCCTGCCCTGCTCCGCATTGCCACCTTCAGGAGGGTCACTTTCTCTCGAGGGAAAGGGTCTAGAAATTCCCCCGCCACACTCCATTGACGCCCTTCCCCCAGCATTTTAATTTCTGCTTGCTGAGGCACCGCTGTTCTGCAGCGCTTTGCTGATTCACGATGATCACGGAAAAGCCTCATTGACTTGTGCCCCTGCAAGCGGCGAGGCGAGCAAGAGTGGCTGCTAGGGCAAACGCTTTGGGAAACCACCCACCCTCGAGCAGTGGAGGTGCTAAATGGCGGGGTGGATGCCCTGCGAGGCTTTCAGCCCGGGCAGAGGGAAAGATGGAGGAGGGGGGGTGGCAATGGGAAATACTGCGAGTCCAGCTCTTTGAGCCAGCGGCATCTAGTGGGTGGGCACCTCTCAGGAGACCTAAAATCGGTCTCCTCGAAGCGAAAGAACAGGAATGTTTCATGTGCCCTGATGCTTGAGCAGGGACAAAAGTAAGAGAAGGGGAAGTGAAAACAGCCCATGGGTCTATTTGGGACCCTTTAATATTTTGGAAAAGCTCTTTCCATTCTTTGTCTTTGTACAGTACTTCCAAGTGATTTGCTCCCAACCTTCATTTTCTTCTTTAGAATTTCTGGCCTTTTAATGTCAGCCTTTATGCAGGCTGAAGAGCAGGCATGTCCTCTCGCAGTACCCTGGGCAGAATCTTTGAGCCTGAGACACTCAGCATTGCTCAGCTGGCCAGTGTGGGTGTGTTGTCCTCCCACACAGAAAAAGGCCTTTCCTTTGAGACCAGGACATGGCTAGTCCTCCCAACTCTATTTGTAACTGTCCCCCTGTGGGGGAACTGCCACCCTGCTTGTTTTGATTCTGAGACAGGACTTCCTGAGAGTGGATCTTTAACCCTCTTTTATTGTGGGTAATGCAGTTAATGTTGGAGGGGGTGGAGAGGAGCTCATGAGTGTCTCCCTATTTTTCTTTTGACTTTGACATTCAGGGGAGCATTGCCACTGCAAAATACTTGGATTTGCTTTTGGGAACATGACAGTGGGAACAGAGTCTATCAATCCTTTCATTAATTACCTTTTTACATTTTAGTTAATGCATACTCCTGATATTACTTATTTAGAAAATAACAAGAAAAAGAAAAAAAAAAAACCACCCATATCTCTGTACTCCCACCAGTTTTTAAAAGTAATCACTGTTAGTAATTACTTGTACACATAGATAACATAATATGGAGATTAAGGGTTTTGGTTCTAGAGCCACTGAGTTGAGTCCTTGCTCCATTCTTTATTACCACTATATACGGTATTTGGTGAGTAACACAGTTTTCTTTTCTGGAAAATGGGAATAGTAATAGCACCACCCCCATAGAGTTGCTGTGACCACTGAAGATAGCACCTAGAATATAAAAAAACGCCTAATAAATTGCAAAAACTGTAATTCTAGTCTTCTCTCTATATGTGTATGAAAGGAAAATCAGTTCCTGACATTCATGAGCTGGCCTGGCATTATCAGCTGGGCCTTAGTGTTGCTAGGAGCTGTTCTGGCACCCACAACTAAGCTTTGGTGTTCTCTGGTTGAACATAAAGCATTTTCTAAAATGCTGATGTTAGATAAGGGTGTTCTGTAACCATGAGGGATGAAGACAGAATGAAGACCACTCTATAACCACATCTGAACACAGACCAAACATGAACCTGTCCAAACCACAAAGATGACTAAACAGGTCCTTATCCTGGTTAATATAGGTGACTACTGTAGCCTTTTAAAACACAAATTACAGCGTTAGTCTTGTTCTAGTTCTTTCTCTTTCTCTAGATAAAGATTTATTAAGCCATTCAACCATAAAACTATCCCTGCTTGCTGATGACATAATCTGAAGAAAAGCTTACTTACTTAAACCTTTCCCAAAATGACTCAATACAAAACCATATGATTTTTAACATTCTGTTATTAACATGTGCCTTAGTTCTCCATGGTGTATGTCCTGGTGGTTTTTGGTGTTGACAACATATATACAATGTTTATGTATTAAGGATCATAATAATAAACATTCTGTTTGGTAACCATTTTTTCCCATTAAGATCATGAGCATTTTCTCATGTCAATTAATATTGTTATGAAAAATTTTAATGACTATAGAATTCCATCATGTGGCTGAACCTTAATTTATTTAACTTATATTGTTGGACACTTAATTTCAAAAATATTCTATTGTAAATAAAACTGGGCTGAACATCCTGTACATAAATCTTTGACTGCATCTTTGTTTTTTAGGGTCAAATACCCATCACTACATTTTAAGTAAGTGCCCCTAACGTATACCTAATTATTGTTAAGTTGGAAGAGACAAAGTCATTTCTTCACAGGGATTAAATTATTTGAATTAGCACCACTTTACAGGGGTTTCTATCATTTGTTATCATTTCTATCATTTGGAATCAGTCTCTTGGCTTGGTCTTGCTCAGAGGTGCCAGGAAAGTTGATTATGGTGTGGGAGTGTGGATTTAAAGTGAAAGGTTACTTGGTTTGATAAGGTTAGAAATAAGGAT